TATATATATATATAAAGATAGATAGATAGATAGGTGAGTGGAATAAGCCAGTTCCTCGAGCATGACTTTAAAATCGCATTTTTTTGTAGGTTTGCGTAATCCCCTTGGTTTGGTTTGCTGTAGTTGGACAAGTCGAGGAACGCTGTATGGCTTGTTGAAATCTGTGCGCGCGTCTTATATTCCTCTAGTTCTTTGATTCCTATCTCCAATACAGTCTCAGTATTTCATTGAACACTGTAAGACCTTTTTAAGGTTGAACGCTTTGAAAGACGGGAGCGGCCAGCATTTGGTGAGCTCTCCCGTGGGCTGCTGTCGTCACTGGACTGAGCAAGGTTGCTCTTTGGATTGTCCCATTGTAGGTGTAGCGGTAATGCATAAGGTTCGTAAACCAGTATGAAGGAAAAGTGACACGTTTGGACAGATGATAAAGTTTTTCTTAATTTTTTTTCATCATTGAAATTTCAGGAGGGGGAGGGAGGGATGAGGAAGTGGTTTTTGGTTCCTGTAAAATATTTGTGGTTGGAATCAGCTGTCAAAAAATTGTATTTTAGGGAGTAGAAAAGACTGTTTGAAAAGACAAGATTGTTAGAATTAATGATAAGAAAGAAAAAAGATAAATACACAAAAAGAAAGTAAAGAAACAAAGTACAGCTACTTCAGTCTTATTGATTTGTCTTTTCACACAAATTGGTGGGCTACTCTCAGAGAGTTAACATTTTATTTTATGGTTATTTGCGTCGGAAAAGCCAGGAAGTTTTTCTGTCAATATCTTCTTTAAAAATAACTGATTTTTAGGTACTTCAGGTGTTTGTTATGAGTCTTTTTGTTATATTTTACTTTTAGTTGGCATTTTTTCGCTATTCTAACGATTTTGGCTCCTAAACAGTTTATTTCACTCTGGGGCTTGTGCATTTTAGCGTCCAGTTTCAGTTAGACATCTCACGGTGCTCTATCGTTTATCAAAGTATTTAGGGTTAAATATAACCTGTACCGATTGAACGGCCCATTTTGGTTTTCACGTTTAGAGGAGCTGAAGAAAGCTGCTATTATGTTTAGCGTATTACTTCTTTTCATTCTACATGCATCTTATGCATCATCGGTACTACAGCAATGGAATGATCCCGAAAAAGAGGGTGGTCAACTTTCTAACGGCGTGCAGCCAATCAGCAAGCTGACTGATTCCACGTCAAATACGTGTTTCCTTCCTTTGTAAAAGTTTGCGAAATGGTGAATATTATTTTACCCGTTGTGGAACACATGAAGAAGCAGATGGATCTGGTAAAGCGGAACCTGTGTGGTGCTTAACAAAGGTTTTTGTTAGATCAGTGGTAGAGTATTTCAAGCAGAATTTCCATAGCGTATTCAAGGTTTATTTGAGGAGGGGAATTTTATTTGGTGCTATGAGGAAAGCGAAAATCAATCAGTTTTAAACTGGTATAATAAACTGCATAATCCCAAATTTTTATTTTTTCTTTGAAGTTAAGCAGGTAATACTTTTGAGAGTCAACTTTTGTTACCAGTTAACAAGAACGGTTTTTTTTAATTAGCGGAGATTTTCAATTTGAACAGGTTTTAATTTCAAAAAAAAGAACAATTTATTATTATCAATGCTTGATGAGAATCAGATAGACACGACAATAGCGAAATTAAAACAACAGCAAGTGATTTTATTAATTACAGTAGAAAAACTGTTACTGAAATTGTAACAAACCCGTATTTAATAACTAATTTACGTTCTATAGTTTTTGACAGTCGAGAGTAGCTTACATTATTAAATATCTGTCTTAGTCGTGGGTGTCGCTTTTTTTTCGTACAATAAAGAAGGCAGTTAAGGTTAAGAAATCAAGCAGAAATGTTAACAAAACTACCCGAAAATGATTCTGTATTAATGGGTTAAAAATTTTTGTAAAATTAGCATAACTGCAACAGTTTGATAGGTGGAATACATAAAGTTGGTTGTTGCAACATCTGGGAGACCTCTCAAAAAATCTAATACCCGTATTTGTTTTACTGTTGATAAAAGTAGTTGACTATGCGGTACTTCGTTTCTGGCAATCATCTTTGCTAACGCTTGTACATATATGGAACACCGCTGAAAACAGGACAAATTTTTCACTTTTTTTTTGAAAATAAGTAAAAATAAATTGCGAAACTACAGTTCAGTATTTACTAAAGCATGTCTTAAATTAACATAAAATATTGCTATAAACTGATGAACAGATCAAGTAATTTTTATGATGCTCTACCATTTATCACTTGTATGCCCAGGTATTTAAGGTTGAATAATTTGGTTGGCAACGGCAAAGACGGTGTGGTCAGATCAATGGACTCCTATTTTAGCTATTTTGTTGTCATTAGTGCAGCACAAAAATTTACCAACCTTAGCATCTGGTCCCCGATGGAATCGTCGTCTGGTATCATTTCTAAAACGGCTAATACCTTGCCATTCGACGGTATAAGCTATATTTTCTTTTTTTTTCATACCGCGTTCAACAATAAATTGACATCTTTCAGGCTAGAAAAAAATTGAATTAGTGAAATGTGTTTTTAGGAATCCACATGGTGTACTAATTTTTATATTTGTTGAAGAAAGTTTAGGTACTGGTAACGGTAACTATATGTTTATTTGGTCACAGAAAAAGGGGGGAGGCAAAACTTTGAAATTGCTGAACAACAAATAGCTAACTGTAACAGGCGGAATAAAAGTAATGAATAAAATTTACAAAGTCTTTGTTAATAGAAAAAAAATTTTTTTTTTTATACCTTTTATTTACAGTTTTTGGCAATTAGTTTATTGTAAGAGATAAATGAAATTTTCTTTCACAATACGCTACACTGTAAAATTACAGAAAAATTTGAATTGACAACATTACGGAGGGCAATTAATGAAAATATCTGACGAATAGATAAATTTTTTACAATAATTTTTTTCCTTTTTTATTTTTTTGTTTAATTAATAATTTGAACGAAGGAAAAAAAAAACTCGAGCGCAAATTGAGGTGAACTGACGAATTTATAAGTGTAATAAGGTCATAGGGTTGCAAAAAAAATTGGTCAGACTGAGCAGTTTTGATGAACTGTTAACACCGCTTCCGTTTTCCTCATTCAAATACCATTTTTGGTGCCGTTGGAATTTGTAGATCAGTTCAATCAGAAAAAGCCACATAGTTTAGTTTGATTTTATAGTTTCATATGTTTCAAACAAATATTAAACATAAAATAAATGGAGGTCTTACTGTTGAAATGTAGCTTTCAAATGCATTCTGTAAAGCTTTAGCAAGATTACGTTCAAGACTATCGGATGAAAAATAAAATGCTTCTTCAAGTTTTCTGGCTGGAATTTTTTCACGAAGCATATCAATTTCGTTTTGCGAATATCCGACCAATAAATATAGTCCTAAAAATGGACGAAAAAAAAATTAGGGAAAAAAACAATTTTTTCCTAATTTAAATAGTTTTTTCTGATTTATTCTTTATAATACTTTTCAATAATTGATCACTGCATATTGTACTGTTACAGAGAATAGAACAAAAAATTTTTGTCATAGAAAACAGCTGTAGCAGACAGTTGTGGAATACCAGTTAAATTATACTTTTTTCGAATCGAAACGGTTCTTCCGGTAGTTCACATATAAAGTTGCCAGAATGACAAAAACATGCACCTCGATTTTTGATATATATCTGTTCACCAAATTCTGTAAAGCATCATTTTGGTGCTGCATCAATAATTTGATGTTCTCCTGTTCGGTTTTTTTTGTGGAATAAATTAACTTTTTTCCCGCTTATTATAAAAATACGGTTATGATGGAACAAAAAAAAAAAAAGAAAGATTAAAAGCTATGTGTAGGTTTAAGCAGCAGAACAAAACAACTGTATTGCTAACACCTGAATATGCAACTTAGAAAAATAAAGGATAGAAAGATAAAAATGACTTTTAATCAAAAAAAAAGAAATCTTTTTTTGTGTATTTCGAACCTGATGAGCGCTTAAAATTTTTGTACTAATAGTATATTATTTTATTGTAACACCAAAGAACTGGTGTTATGGTTCAAGAAAGAAAAAGGCTGATTATATAATGCAGTTATGAGGGAAGAACATGAAAACAATTTTTTGTCTTATATTTTATTGTTTAAATTTTTTATAGATAAAGAAAAAATTCTGAACTATTGTATTAGGGGAATTTTCACTAAGAATATACTTAAAATTTATTTGAAAAATTTACTAAGCTGAAATGACTGTAAAAGAAGAGTAACTGCATTTGAATCAACAGCGTTGTTTGTTACACACACGATAACTTTGCCTACTAACAACTGTACAAAATTTATGTTTTCGCTGATCGGTCTTAAAGTTGCATCAAAAAAAAAAAAAAAAGGAGAGTTACTATAAGGGATTAAAGAGGAATAATGGTTACCAAGTGTAGCATTTGGTGCTTGACATAATCCACCTTTTAAGCAACCCAAATTTGTACAGCTAAGTTTCTTGTTACTGTCACATGTGCACCATTTGGTACATTGTCCAGCCCAATCCAAATTTGCCTGTAAATTAATGACTATTTTTTGTTCGTTTTTTTTTTCTTGGTTACATTGAAACAACTGAATCCAAATTTCAAACATCTTTTTTTTTACAGTAACTATACGACAATCAATAATATATTCAAAAAAGACAAGCTTTTTAGCTGTCTTTTAGATTACTGTGATATGGCTGCTGTTAAATGAGGTATTAAAACTTTAATTACTTTTTTATTTTCTTTTTTTTCCAAAATAAAAAGTCAATTCAAAATTTTTGTTAACTGAAAAAAAAAATAGCCTACACGAAGAATTGTACGTTTTGGATGAATCACTGTGTTTCCCAAGATATTCTTTCGTTTACAACCATCTATAAAAAAAGGGTGAAGAACTGTTGTTATAGTTTTTATTAAGTGGCACACAAATTTCTGGCATCTTTTTTTTTTAGTAAAAATTAGTGTGAAGAGATAAAAATAGACTAAAATAGGCGAAAAAAAGATCAGAATATTAAATGAGCAATTATGTTATCGCTTTATAACGAATACTGTTCA